GGGTCTTGTTTTATTTGCTATTTTGATAACCTGGATTGCATTTATCTTGTAAATGTTGTGGCTTGTTTGAAATTAAAATATGAACTGACAACAGGGATATGCACCATCTAATTCAGATAGAAGGGAGGGAGTTCTAAGAAGGAAGCGCCTTGAGTATCTTGACTGTGTTTCTCAGTACTATGATATTCTGGATACTGATCGTTCAGATGATGAGATAAACATGCTTCGTCAGGTGTTTTATATGTTAAACAATTGCCAACTTTCTTATTGCTAATACCTTGTTCTTGGATTTGACAATTATATTTTTTTGACCATATTAGATTGCTGTTGATTGCCCAAGAACTGTGCCGGATGTATCTTTTTTTCAGCAGGAGCAAGTCCAGAAATCCTTGGAGCGCATCCTTTATACCTGGTTAAATACTATATCTTAAATTACTAGTCATTGTTGGCTTGTTTTTTGCATCAAATGCTCTCATGCAAACTCTTACTGGTTGTTCTAAGTTGCATCTACTGGACCTGCTGGTTCCTAAAAACAAAAGTGTAAATTTAATTATGTTTATTGATCTAGGAATTCCAGAGCAATTGTCTTAGTTGTAGGGTTCATAAAAAAGGCTTTGGTTCATTAGACCCTTGCTGATTATGTTGTAGCTCACAATATGGAACAGTGAGATATGATTTTGTCTCTAAATTATCGTGCTGTTTAGTGCCGTGCATCAGTCTCAAAAACCAGCCCATGTCCATACCAATAATGCTTTAACAGCTCTAAGTTTAGAGGCTTTTATTACCAGTCAGACTTGAAAACATTTGTGATTGCCCTATTGGTTTTACCAAAGTAGTTATAGCTCTAAACTGTATGGGATAGTGATGTCAAGTGATAGCGACTTGTTTAAGTTCATATGTATAAGTTCTCTGCAATAACCTGGTAGGTTTGGTGTTCTTAACATTTGTGCATTAAGAGGGCTGGCATGGGCATGAATCTCAAATTGTTATTGTCACTTAGCTATACATACTTAGCTACACCTTCACTGTTATTTAGTAATGTTGATCAGAATGATTCAAGTGTCCATGTTCATTTCCTGGTATTTTGATGGTAGGTCTCTACTGAGATTTGGACCATGCAGGGATAAATAGTGAGTAGTGATAAAGCTCTTCTATACCGTTGTTTATGTGAAACTTGTTTTCCAGTTGTTTCCTCTAACTGAGAAGTTTAGAGTATGTGAAACTTGTGTCCTCTATGGTAAGTCCCTACTGCGATTAGGGCTCATTTATGTGAAACATGTTTCCTGTTGTTTCCTCTAACTGAGAAGTTTAGACTATCAAATGCAGACAACAATTCATGGTATATTGGTTAAGTGAATTGTTTCTATTAATTTTCTGAGCTGTTGTTGGATTCCAACAGTTTAGATTTAAAAAGTGGGAAAAATCGTGTAGATATGGAGTATGATATCAAGATGCCATCATTTTATTTTAATTTTTAATTATGTAATTCGTATGGTTATTAGTTATATCTTCTTAAGGTACTTCTCCTTGTGTCTTTCAGGGCCATTCGACATCCTGCAAGTGGATATGTTCAGGGAATAAATGATCTTGTTACTCCTTTTCTAGTTGTTTTCTTGTCAGAATACTTGGAGGGGAGTGTGGATAATTGGTCGATCTCTGATCTGTCTCCTGATAAAATATCTAATATAGAGGCTGACTGCTATTGGTGCCTATCAAATTTACTTGAAGGTATGCAAGATCATTACACTTTTGCTCAGCCAGGAATCCAGAGGCTTGTGTTTAAACTAAAGGAAGTGGTCAGGCGGATTGATGGTAACCCCCACTTTTTTGCTTCTGTTTTCTGATTCTTACACGCTTTTCCCTGGATGAACTGAATCAAATATGTGCAGTGTGCTTAAACTGATTTAAATTTTGCTAGACCCATTTTAATATATTCTTCTCTGGCATAATTTTCAATATGGAAGTCTCTTTGCTTTTCTTTATGCATATTTGGACTTGCATATAGCAACCTAGAGATGCTTACTGGCTGACATATGGAGTCTTTATGTATATTTGGACTTCCTATATATTATAATTCCATGAAGAAAGTGGTGTGTATTGAATTTCAGTTCTTTTAAATCTCCATTTGATGCAATAAAATGGTGTTGCACATTTGCACATCATATTGTAGTGAAAGGTTGTTAAATGTGAGTCGTTGAAAGAATATATTTTATGTGGTTGGTTTTGTTGAAGGAAAGACCAACTTTTGCTTTCATAGTTTTTGCTTGTATACTTTACAAGCTTCCATGTAATATCTTCAGAAGATGGCATATGCCTATGCTCTGGGATGCAAGAAACATGTCAAATTCAGCTATCCTTCATGTGCATATTATTATTATTTTTTTTTTTCAAACTTCATGTGTATATTCATTAGTTTTCTTTCTTCTGCATTAGAACCTGTATCTAGACATGTGGAGGAGCAAGGGCTTGAATTTCTTCAATTTGCTTTTCGGTGGTTCAACTGTCTTCTAATACGCGAGGTTTGCTTCTACAGATCTCTTCTATGTACTTGATGTGTGTTTCCTCTGTGTTTTTTGCACGGGACAATGCGAACCTACTGTAATTTATTGCATAGCTAATGGAATTTTTTTTTCCTTTCTCCTTTTAGATTCCTTTCAATCTTATTTCCCGTCTGTGGGATACATACCTAGCCGAAGGAGATGGATTGCCAGATTTCCTTGTGTATATATTTGCCAGTTTTCTTCTAACGGTAAGATAGAACCTGTTTCCTTGGTTATGTGTTTGGATGTAGTAGCTGTGAGCCTGTGATAAGGAAATGTTCGTATTGATTTATTTGTCGTTAACAATATCTCTGTCTGTTTGGTAAATGTTGGGGGGTCGGAAGGCTACCATGTTTGATACCTCTACTTATGGAAACAAATCACCGTTTGTGATAACCTTGACTCTTTATATAAGGGTAAAGACCTTTTTCATGCAGCATGTTCAACACTGAAGAAATAGACTTTCGATTGCTTTTCCTTTAACACATAATAAACATAAATGCATTCTTGCAGCCTTGCTTGCTGTTTAAGTTTAAATGTCGATTACTTTTCATGGAAGGTGCCTTCCATTGTGTTTTTTTCAGTGTCATCGCCAACTGGCCGTGGTGGTTTTTCTTTTTTACTTTTTAAATTGTTTTTTGGAGTTTGAAAAAGGTAAAAAGATTTGATTGGCGATAAAAATGCCATGTCATTAAAAACCATAAGAAAGAAATCTTTGGCAGGTGTATTTAATAAAATTGGGATGCAAATTAAATGCGCTATTTGTTACATTGTTTACCATGTTTTTGTGCTTGGGTAAATTTGACAGCGGATAATCAGAAAGACTATTTTCTGTGTTCGTTGGTTATATTTTCAGCTTAAATTGTTCTAGGTTTTCTTCCGTAACGGAGTTGAAGTCAGTAATTGAAATGCTCTATGATTTGATATACAGTGGTCGGAAGAGCTTCAGAAGCTTGATTTCCAAGAGTTGGTAATGTTTCTTCAACACCTTCCGACGCATAACTGGACTCACCAAGAACTCGAGATGGTGCTTTCAAGAGCTTTCATGTGGTACAGTATGTTCAAAAGCTCTCCTAGACATTTGGCCAGCTAAACACAAATGTAATATTCAACCATCTATCGACGACTCTGGATTTTTCTCTTATCGTAGTTTTCCGTTTCTTTGTTCTTAATGTGGGTTTCTACAGTTGTTTTCTCCTATGGTGTCGGCCGTCGCTCGTATTATGTATCAGGTGTCTGTAGATTTTGCCTTTGAGCAGTGGAGGAAAAAGGATGAATCACTTTGTATGATTTTATTTTATTGGATGGAGCTGAGGGAAATATTGGTAATCCATGATAATTGTTCATAAATGTTCGTTTCCAAATTCCCTTGAACCCTCCCTGCAGACTGGTTATGTGGTGGTTCTTTGCTACCTGAGCTCCGAAGGTACTCAGGGCTCGTTTGGGAGTGATTATGGAAGGGTTAGAATCACTTTTGAGGGGAAGCACCTGACCCCAAAAGTGATGCTAACTGTGTTAGAATCACTTTCCAAACGAGCCCTCATAAATCTTAAAGGGCTTGAAGTCTCTAGACCTCGTGGTGCTGCCATGGATGCTTATGCCTTAGCAAGCTTTACGTGTTTACAGTAAATCATACTCTTTTGAGGTAATTAACAAAATTGCATCTAACTCACTTCCAACTCTACACTAATTTTCTTTTTCTTTGTCATTTGCTTTGTGTGTGTGCACCGTTTGGAGGTTAGGGATGCTAATTTAAACAAAAATGTTAAGTACGCAACACATTTACCCTTATTTCTATTTTTACACAAATATTGAATTACCACCTCACCCTTGACACTTGTAGCTTTTTATATTTGATAGATTCCAAATTGAAAAATTGGAGGAAATTAGGGAAAGTTTCAACCTCCGGGATACAATTTAAGGAAACATATGGTTGTCAAAATATATTTATTTATATCCATATTCGAATTTTGTACACATCGATACCTATATAAAACGAGTAATAATGGTTCACCAAAAAGTAAAAATGAGTAATAATGTTTTCATTGTCATCGGTCTATCATGTTACATTGTTAGATCGTGGATTCGCAATTAAGAATTCACTTAATTAGATTGCCAATTTGACATTGGAACCGTCTGTATTTTTAGGGTTTTTAAAGGAAAGCATTTAGTCACTTGCGTAGCAAATTACAAATCAAATTACAGTAATCCTCATCAGTCACCACCCTTGGGCCTAGACAACTTATTACAAATTAAATCCCCCCCAAATAAAACCGTTAAGTCGGTAGGATTATGCCACGCGTAAACCAAATAAGGGAGAAAAATCAACGGCAGCCAACACGTTGAACGTACGTAGCCATATCATATTGCCACGCATAAAGAGCTTTGCTCCTGCAGCGGTAATATAATCCCTCATTTGCCCTTATAAGCATGCCACTTTTTATCTAACTCATCCCCTCACCAGATTCAGCTTCCATCCTCTCTCCTCTCTCTCTCTCTCTCTCTCTCTCTCTCTCTCTATAGAACGTCTCTGCCTTTTTTCTTCGTAAATTGCAGATCATCTTTGGTGTTTGTGCATCTCGATTTCCATCGCTTTCGATCCCTATATATTTGGCAAAAAAAAAAATACATATATGTAGTCACAGTTTATATTGTTACTGTTTGATCCGTGCCTTTTGTTTTGTTTTGTTTTGATCTTGTTGATCAATTCTTAATTTCTCTCATGGAGTTTGGGAGATTTGTTTGGCTTCAAATCTTGTTGGTGTTCTTTTGCTTGTGTTTTTCATCCATAGAAGGATACAAATTCTATGTTGGTGGGAAAGATGGGTGGGTTGTGAACCCTTCTCAGAGCTACAGCCTCTGGGCTGAGAAAAACAGGTTCAATATCAATGACACTCTACGTAAGATCTCTCTCTCTCTCTCTCTCTCTCTCTCTCTCTCTCTCTCTAAATATTTTCACTTGTAATTTGTGTATCTTTTAGTTTGGATCATTGCTGATGTTTTTGTTTTAAGAAAAATAATTTCCACACGCATTTTTCTTATACATAACACTGTTTATTTTCGTCATCTAGATTGAGAATCCCAACAATGGAATAGAATTGTACAAAAGTTATTTCGCGTTTCTAATCATCTATATCTTAAAGAACGAGCAAGTTTTAGTTGTGACGAGTAGGCGAGTGATACATCATGTGTTATCATGTTTGAAATTTTATTTTTTAAGTTATTAAATTTTTAATATACATATTTCATCATTTATATAACGATACATAATGTACCATTTCGTGTGACGATCACATTAAAAAATCTAATTACTTTGGTTTCACAACGGCAACACATAAAACATGAAAAATCTTCGGTTATACATCAATTTTTTCGAGTTAGCTGATTAAATTAAATAAATGGATTATTCACAAACAAACAAAAAGATTTAAATAAAAGAGAAGAATATATTATCCAACAGATCCTAAATTGCAGTTTTTATTTTCCTCTTTTTTATCCACCTATATTTGAGGTCGGTATTGTTCCTAACTTTTGTTTCGGCATACCACGTGTACACATATAACAGATTTCAAATACAAGAAAGGGTCAGACTCGGTGCTCGTCGTGAACAAAGACGACTACTTCAGCTGCAACACCCAAAACCCTATTCAGAAACTCGACGGTGGCGACTCCGACTTCACCGTCGATAGGTCTGGGCCTTTCTACTTTATCAGTGGCCAAAATGGTAATTGTCAAAAGGGTCAGAAGCTTCTTGTTATTGTCTTGGCCCCGAGGCAGCCCAAGCCACCAGTCCTCCCTCCTCCTCCTACTAGCCCTACCGCTCCTGGCCCTGGCCCTACCACTCCTACTAGCCCTACCGCTCCTCAGAAGCCCTACCACCCTCCTGCGGCGTCCCCACCACAAGGGCCCGGGCTACCCCCAGCTGGGGGCCCGGTCTCTCCATCTCCATCACCAGTGATTACAACTCCTCCATCTGCTTCACCAGGGCCAGGGTCATCACAACCGTCGCCGTCGCCGTCAACTTCTATGGTGCCATCTCCGGCGTCAGGCTATACTCCAACTACTTCTCCACCCGCACCGCCTCCGGAGGGGCTCGCACCTACTCCTTCTGGCGTGCCTGGGGGGCCCATACTTGCTCCATCTGGCGGGCCTGCGGGCCCCACACAGTCGGGAACTGTTACTTCTCCACCCGCACCGCCTCCGGAGGGGCTCGCACCTACACATGCTCCATCCGGCCAACCTGCGGGTGCTACACCTGCTCCATCCGGCCAGCCTGCGGGCCCCACATCGCCGGGAACTGCTTCTCCGCCACCAGGGTCCCAGGAGTCGACGGCCCCGTCAAATAATGGAGCGTTACATGGAGTAGCGGCTCCTTCGATTGTGTTGGTGTCTTTGGCTGTTGTTCTGGTTAGTGTGGCGCTCTCATGAAGTGGATTTGTGCAGGGTTGAAATTATGGGGGAATAAATAAATAAAGTTAGTGTGAGGGGTTTATTTAATTTGGTGATTTATTGGGGGTTGTTTTGTTAATTAGTTAATTTTATATCATTTTTCATTTTATACCTTAGAACTCGATAGAGAATTTGTTTCGATCGGGTTAATTCGTATTTATTCTAGTTTAATAATATGATTTATCATAGAATTATCGCTATGATTTTGGTTTTTTTTAACCCTTCAAAGTAAAACTTGATCAATTAAGTTTCCGCCTAACCATTTTGTTAATTTCCATATTCAATATTTTCTTTGACTCCTGCGATGCAATGACTTGGTGATTTAAATTTGAAAAGGACCATTTACGTATCTTCACGGTAAAAATTTCATTATTAGAATCATTTAATTGTAATTTACATATCTTCAAGATAAAAGTTTTACTATCAGAACAATTTAATTTCTTAATCTTCATTTGAGAATCATTTTTACAAAAATTATTTGAATCAGAGATCATTTAGTTATTCAAATGTATTAAATAAAATAACGGTTCATCATGAATATGTTATTTGGTACTCACATCGTAGATTTATTTGATACATTTAGATGACTATCATCTCTGATGTGAATAATTTTCATAATGATGATCTTCAAATAAAGATTATAAAATTAAAGAATTCCGATTATGAAATTATACGGTGAAGATTCGTTATTTGTGAATAGAGAAACAAGTTAATTTCTCCAAAAGGAATGCAAGTATTATTCTTTGTTTTATTCTTAGTGATGTTGTAACTGAAATTTAACTACAATACTTGCATTATATTATTCAATATAATTATCATCTCCACTGTTAGATGATAATTTGTTTTTTTTTAAGTTCAAAAAAGAGGAATAATTGGTAACAAGTCATAGTTATCTATTTTTCTGAGTTTGAAGAAAATACGAAGAATATTACCCTACCTTAGCCACAAGCAGATGATGATTTGCTAAATACATACTAATGCTAGCCAATCACGTTTGTAATTTTGGTTTTCGATTAGATTTAAGTCGGTCGGTAGAGCTGCATGAATACTCGCGAGTCGCTACATGCATTTTAAGTGGTAAATTTGTAATTATCTACTAAAGTCATTCAACCTTCCGCGCCACATGCATAAATAGTAGTGCTAATTGAAGAAAATAAATAAAATGGATCACGATTTTTTTTTAAAAACAAAAAGTGGATCACGATTTTTTTTTTTAAACAAAAGGTGGATCACGATTTTGACCATACACATTGACCGACTACACGTGTACAGCACTTGAGATACTAATCTTCACAATAATGCATAAGTCGGTCAAGAATTGACCAAAAACAAAAATCAAAAGTTGGTTTGGTTGATTTTTCAACTTTGTTTCTTAATTATATACTAGTTTTCTAAATATTAAGAGTCACAATTGCTTGAACTAGGGTTTAGGGTTTATATCTCTTAGTTTTCTCTTCATTTCTTTTTGCTAGGTATTATGTTTAATTTCTTATAATGCTTCGGAGTATTTGATACTTTGAACTTTTTAATTATGAATTTTTTTGTTAAAATCACAATAAAAAATCAAATATTTAATAGTTAAAAAGTTCAGAATTTCTATATTGAAACAAAATAAAATATTTGTTATGTGTCTATCTGCAATTAATTAACCCTCAGACGAATAGCCTCAGTACTCATTTCATATTTGATTTTCGTCCCTACAATTGTTTGTGAGGGCATTCAAATTAATATGTGTGGCTCTGGATGTTGGGACGACTACTGAACCTCAACCATTGACTGGGAGCTAATTTGTTAAGTCGCTATTCGAGTATTATATTATAAATTGATTTAAAGCAATGAGTGGGTGGGACTTGGATTGTCTGCCCTCCCATTTCCGAAATGAGAAGGTAGACAATCCAAGTCCGAGTGAGTGACCCTTCGTTCGTGGAAAATCAATAAATGGAACTGCACAAATGGACGTGTATAATGGAAGTTTGACACCCTTCTTTCTACGATATAACGTTTGAAAGGATAATAGTGAATTCAATCCGACGGAGTTAATAAAAGTCCACAAAAAATTCGGATATATTTAATCATGAATTCAAATGAGTCTACAAAAGTTTAGGAATATGTGGTCGTAATTTGATTTCATAGGATATACAATTCAAAGTCTATATGAATTTATAACTCCATAAAAATTCTTTACAATCGGATTGAATACACTATTTATATAAAACATGATATTATTGTAAGAAACTTGTAGTTTGTGTGATTTAGATTCATTACCTGACCCTTCATATCCATCATTTTGCAATATTTTTCGATAAATATTTAAGCGTGTTATATACATGGTCTCATTAAGCTAACAAAAAGCTAGTTTATCCATATTTTTCATACCATATTTGTATTACTCTCTCTAGAAGAAATGGAATCCACCTGTGTCAATGAGTCCTGCTTCCATTAGGATGATGATACAAATATAATATTAAAAAGAGAAAATTAGAATTAGATGCCTCATTTTAGACTTTTGTAGACTAAACATTTATGCTTTTTGAGTTTTTGATTAAACTTTTGAAACATTTGATTAAGATACTCAGACTTGAACTACTTCAGATTAATTGAAATTAATTTACATTTAAATATCTGCTATATATTTTAAATAATTTAAACTATATTTAAGTCTAAAAATGTAAACTTTTCAAATCTAAATGTACATCCACGCCAAATGGAAACGTACCAATATTAAATGAAAATGTACCAACATCAAACGAAAACGTACCAACCCCGAATTAAAATGTACCCAATTATAAACTATCTTAAAATGAATATTCATTTTTTGGAATGTTTAAAAATATGTTTGATTCATACACAATGCTCTAGATAGTCTTGTTTTTTTGGTATATAAGTTTTTGGAACAACTTTTAGTTGATTAGAGATAAATCATTATTATTGTAGATAATGCTAAATAATAACGATAAATCATATAATTTTGAATTAACAAAAAGGTTATTATCCGTTGATTAATGACCCTTTCTAGAAAAAAAAATTAATTAAAGTAATTTAAACTTTTACATTGTTAACGACTATTTCTATAAAAAAAATAATTAATTAAAGTAATTCCTCATTATTAGGACAAAAAGTAATAAAACTTATGCTTTGAAAACAAACATACCAAAAATTCAAATGTACCCAAAACTAAATGTACCAAAAATTTAAATGTACTAAGAAGCCAAATGGACCAAAAATTCAAATGTACCAAGTAACTAAATGTACCATTATAATCAAACGTACCTAACAACGAGTTTTGTTACATTCTATTTAATTTACTAAAATAAATATTTTAATAAAAATTAAAAAATAAATCTTAAATCATCATAATAAGAGATGCATAAAAATAGGAGGAAAAAAGGGAATGCTAACATGAATAGACTTCTAATGAAATAAAGTTAAAGTACCAAAATTGTAGGGAAAATGTTTAATCAAATTTGGAAAATGAATAGATGTTTAGTCTATGATATTTAAAAATGAGGCGTCTAATTCAAAACGTCTCTATTAAAAAATACAAAAGTGTAGCATTACTCTGAAACTAAATCGCTAATCAGAAAAAAGAAAAAAAAAATGAAAATCTTATATATTATGTAATTTAAATCAATAATTTAGAAAAATAAGCCTTCAAGATTATCCTTCTGCTTGAGGCCTTATAACATAGATTATCCTAACTAAGGCTTTCATTTTCATGGAATAGAGAGGTGATGAATCTGCGGACAAGTGTGATCGATTCGCTCTTGCAATGTGTCGGTAAGAAAAATACAAGAAAGATGTGATGGGGAAGAAATTTTTTGGTATGACCGGTGCACAGGATGATACATCACGTGTCATTAAACAAATTGTGAGATATGTGTGCTAAAAATTTAATAACTTAAAAAATAAAATTTCTCACAGTTCTTATAAAAACACGTAGTGTACCATTTGTGTTCTCATTACAATTAAAAATTTCTCGTGACGGGGAAGACGAGTGCTACAACATATGTAAAGAGGCTAGTCCATCTGTGGAGATGGCAACCGACGGCATGTTCCTCAATGCGTATGACACCTGGGAGGATAGGACTAACTTTATCAATTAAGTGATGTGAAATGTTTCTTCCAACCAATATTGATAAAGCTTCAAAATTGTGTATTTGAGAGAATCCATTTGTCCTTTCGTGAAATTGGATTAGTAAAAGACCTTATTAGGTCTCGTTTGATGCTTAGTATTGAATTAAATTTAAATATTTCACTAGGTTAATGTGTGTCGAAATTTCACGTGGATAAGATTAGTCGAGCGGTCTATTTCGAGCATAATAATTCATCATGGAAGAAGAGAGTTTAGTTGTCCTTTTGTTGAAATTAGATTGGTATTAGGAACTTAATGTTAATGTGAACTTTTGCCCGAAGAGAGGATGTTACAAGAGATTTAGGCCTGATTTGGTAGTTAGGTGATTCTAAAAAAAGCTGGTATAAAAAAAAATTGAGAATTTTTTTTGTGTTTAGTAAACATTCAGCTTCAGTTTTTTTTCCACAGTTTTGAGTGAAAAAATGCCAAAAACAAGAAGTTGCAAAACCCAGCTTTGAAAAATCGATTTTTTTTCATATATGTTTTACATAAAAGTTTACCAAACACTATAATACTGTTTTTTTTCTTTTCAAAAACATTTTTACAAAAAAATTTACCAAACACTCTACAACTTTATTTCACAGTTGCTTATTCTCACAGCACAACAGAAGTAGTTTTTTTTCAAAGCATAACAATACTAAACCAGCCCTTAGACTAATTACGAGCATACAACTATGACGCATAACTCCTTAAATTTGTATTCAAACCCACATATTAATGGAATTGGATCCTCGCCGGATCTAATTCATGGGGATCCTAGGGATCAACCCATATGGGCCGTTGATAAAAAATCGTGAGGTTACAATTTTTTTTCTTTTTTATATTTTTCACGCAAAATGAGACTGTTTTACTTTTAAAACATTTAATTGTGATCGTACGATTTTTTATCAACGATCCACGTGAGTTGATCCTAGGATCCCAAGATCCGGCGAGGATCCAATTCCCATATTAATGGTCAATCTGTGTGGAATTTTCTTGTCATTAGGAGATGGGACTGACTGGATAGTCATGTCCACTATTTTACATGTCCGAGTTAGAAAATTTATCCTCGGTGTTAACATAGCCCATGCAAATGAAATG